GAATTATTGTAACCAACAAGACAAAATAAATAATATATCTAGATCTACTAATATTTAAGAATGGTCTAAGTTTCAAAATGTAGCGTTTTAAAGCCAAGAATCAGCAAATATGATTAGGTCATTTTGACCAAATTTGACTTAATCCTCATTTCGATGTGATGGGTCACGTATTTTTGTTGACAGGTCGATCATCTTGAAGTGGCTTGACTCCAAAAGTGAATCGGTTTTATTTGTACACCCATCGATCACTTTCTGAGTTTCACTGAAATCTATCCAGTGTTTCATGAGATATTTTGCTGACAGTACTGTGACTGTGAAACATGCAGCAGACAATGCTGACATAACCTCTTGTTTTCTTTGTTGGGAATTTGATGAAAAACAATAGATTTATATCAGCAGATCTATATGTTTAACTGACATCCATAAAATAGAGATTTAGAGGTATTTAGAGAAAAGATCACATGTTTGTGCATGAGTCAGACACTTTTTAACTTCCACTTTCGTAAATAAGTACAATATAATCCCAGGACCTCTGCACTTGGTTCATTGGGGTCATTGACTCCTGGTAGCTCTGCACGCTATTGATCCACGCCCTGCTCAGTCAGCAGCTTTTAGTCCTAATTTTAGTCCTAACATGTCCTAAACAAGACTATCTGTTTTCCAGCTAAATGCTGCGAGGACGTCATTGAGGTGGCGAAGGAAGCCAGGAAGAGAAACCTGGGCCCGCTTCACCCAACCTTCAACCTGGTGAAGGTCCTGAAGTCCGGCCTGAATCGGGACCTGCCRTCTGACGCTCACGTCGTGGCTTCGGGGAGGCTGTGCGTCTCGTTGACCCGGGTGTCCGATGGGGAGAACGTTCTGGTGTCGGAGTTTAGCTCTAAAGAGGAGCTCATACAGGTCTGACGGCACATTGGTGGTGCTCCGGTGCTCCGGGTGGTGCTGAGTGTAACCCTGGGTTCTGTCCACAGGCACTCGTCTGCAGCTGYTTCATCCCCATCTACTGTGGGCTGATTCCTCCGGCCTTCAGAGGAGTGGTAGGTGTTTTAGCAACACATTTCCCGCCACATTTCATGGCAAAGTTTTCATTCAAGATGGCCGCCATAGCATGGTTCACAAGATGTGTTAACGCTGAGTAGSGTTGGGCATAATCGTATCGTGTGCAGTTAATCGTCAGAAAAACATTAATCGATTATTTTTTGGGACTTGACCRTTAATACGATTAATGCCACCAGGCAGAGTCCACTCAGTGCTCCTCTCCGCTTCAAATATAACGRACRTTAAGTAAAAAGTTCTGTACTTTATCTATTAAACCAATTTAAAATATGATGTTTAGCCTGAAGTCTGTAATKTAGATTTTTACGAAGAGCAAATCTTTCCCACTAAACTGGTCATGTGACTAGGACATTAAGGTGTCCAGGGACTCCAGGGGATTAATTAGTGCTGGGCGGTATACCGTTTTGTACCGAATACCAGTTTTTATTTTTGTTATGATATGAATTTTTTGAATACCGGACATTCTGGTTTAAATGGCGGAACGTTTCGTCGCGGCCGCCAGTGAACTGTTGTTTCCCGGGGGACATTTTTCCTTGCTGCACCGCTATGTGCGTTAGCATGCTAATGGCTGTGTCCAAAACGACAGGCCGGGTCCTCCGGAGGACCCAGACTACCCTGTCGAGGTGGGCCGGGTCCTTGGTAG